CCGTCTGGCAATGCCGACGATTGGCCAGCAGCCGCAGCGAACGAGCCCGCTCTGTCGAAGCTCAGTTTTGAATTGGTAGTCTAGTGACAAGAGCTTCCTATGATGATTCAAATTTGGAATTACCGGCTGAGCAATCAATGCGGAGAATTTGGCTGTTTCTGAGGAACACGCAACCTAGTGTTTATGTACTTTAGCTGTTAGGGGCATATCTTTTGTGATGATTAGCTAGATTTCTGACACCTCTTGTATGAGAGCCCGACGTACGCTACTCGCTGTAGCGTCCGCCGGGCCCGCTGAGCATAACCTTGCTATTTTACGTCTGAAACAAATATGCCCCTATGTACATCTATATCGACCAAGTTCTAGGATGAGAAAAACCTATCTATATAACTTTCGTTCTTCCTAACTAAAATTGCGGAGTTTCTTTCTCTGAGAACTTGATTTTCAAAAGCTTAGTCCCTAAGTCTCCAACCAATCCAGGGCATACATCAAGCCCAACAAATATATTCGTTTCAGACGCCACAATTTGTTATCTTCTCCGAACCCACAACTATCGCATTTGTCTCCCAGAGAAAGCGCTCACTCCGTCGACTCAAATGCCCTCCTTACGGTGGCGCTGTACCAGCCAAGTACAAGTCCGATATTTATCAAGCAGGAGTGGACTTTGGCTTAGCTACGTTAGGCGCTGTCGGACCGCATTTTGCGCTCGAGGGACTTGTGCATCCACTGGCAGACCTTGGTGAAGAGCACGTCGGGCGTCAGTTCAAACGGCGTCTCGTACGCGTAGCTCGGGATCCACACCAGTGCGTCGTGGAGCACACGGAGGAAGACGGGCGCGCTCCGGTGCATGTACTGCTCGTACCCGCGCTCCTTCCACTGGTCGAGCTTGGAGACATAACTCGACGACTTGCGCAGAACTGGCTGGCGCGGCTTGCGCTGCTCAATGCCGAGGCCGTACCCAATGCCGGCCGAGCCTGCGACGTGGGCGCCGTCGCGGATGAAGCCGAGCAGCACGAGCTGCGTGTGGATCTCGTCCGTCGCCCGCAGCGCACACCCGCGCATGCTTGCGAGCGGGAACGGCAGCAGCATCGGCGACAGAAACGGGTGGACTTGGAGATAATGTACCTGCGTGTACTCGGGAATGCGCCGCAGCTCGACGCCGGCTTGCTTGCACTTGCGCCGAAGCCCCGAGATGAAGTCCTCGACGACCGACCCGCTGCACGCAAGCCAGCGCACGTCCACATGGTACGTCGACCCGACGTCGTGGACTTGGTCGAGGAGCAGCATGAGCCACTCGCTTCGGCAGTCGACGTCCAAGCGCGCGGACGTGCTGCAGTTGACGCGGTAGTAGGCGCGGGCCGTCGCCTTCTTCGGCGCCCCCGGTTCATTGGACGCCGCTTTCGACGCGTCACTCGATGTTTGGAGCGTCACGTTGACAAGGTCGTCCTTTCCGACTTTGGACTGGAAGAAATCGACGACTTTTTGAAACTTGGCAAAGTACGCGGCTTCGTCGAATGTGGTCGCAATGCCAATCGGGGGCACGATGACAAAGCGGATGCGCCGGCACTTGGAGCTGTCCGGCATCGTGTCAACGTACCCGGACAAGAGGTTGTCGGTCGTGTTCCAGTTGTCTTGGGGGTGCGGGAGCTCGTAGAACGCTTGCTGCTCCTTCTGGAACGTCTTGGTGAGGCCATTGTAGAGCGAGTACTGGTACACGACGGGCTCGTTGGACGCAGCGTACGTCTTGGGCCGTTTGAAGTAGCACTTGACATCAATCGATTGCTGCTGCTCGTCGTAGTTGAGGACGTGGATGCGGTGGCCCATGGAGAGGTGGTAGACTGTCGGCACGTCGACCTTGATGTCGTCGTCATGGAGCGTCACGAGCTGGTAGTCGCACGAGAGCCGCTGGCACACCATCTCGACGAGCAGTTGGTGCGTGCTCAAGCTCGAGCTGTTCTCGAGCAGCATGAGCGTGTAAAATGACTCGGTGTAGCTTGTATGGAGCTCGTTCGGCGCCGGGTAGTAGTCGGTCGTGAGCGGCAGCACCGCGGGGTTCACGAGCGACTTCCAATTGGGGCCCGAGATCCAGTGCTCCGACTGACTCCACGGAAAAATGTGGCTCCAGCGCCGCCGGTTCGACGTCAGCCGCGTCGAACACTCGTTGAGCTGGAACGGGTTCATGTGCGTTGGCGGACTCACGCGGACTGGCTTTGTACTGGGCGACGACGACGCCTGCGGAAGCTCGGTCGACGAGATGCGGCTGCGGGGACTCACGAGGAAGTCCGTCATGCTCCGGTGCTTCATCAAGCTCAAGCTCGAGTCCATCGACGTGCCGAGGTCCAACGACGAGACGACGTTGGGCTGCTCCGACTCGGTCGGGCTCCCGTCCATGAGCGGGCTCCGCGGGCCAAAGTCGGGCGTCTTGGGGAAGCTCCGGCTGAGCGACGTGGCCGCACTGCGGTTGGGCGTCGCGCCGCTGTTGTGGCGCTGGAGATTGTGCATGCTCGTGATGCGCCGCGCAAAGGACGGCGTCATCATCGGCGGTAGTCCCGGGCTGGCTTGCATGTCCAAGTACACGATCGACGGCCGCTTTCCGTACGTCGTTGGCTTGGGCGCCATCATCTCGCTCAAGTCAAACACGGTATCGTCGTACTCGGCGAGCAGATCGCGCGTTGACATGTGCGGCTGGAGCCACCACTCGTGCATGTGGGCCGGCGCCTTCTCGATGCTCCACGACGCCGGCGTGTGAAGCCGCGTGAGCTGCGACAAGATCGCGCCGCGGGTCGGCGCCCGCGATGACGCCCGCGGTGACGGCAATGACGGCGCCAAGAGCTTGCGAAGCGCGACGGGAAACACCATGCACGCTTCGGGGGCGATGATGTCAAACATACGCGACGCCGGGAGTGCGTGGAACGCGTCGTTTTGCGCGTCGAGGCAGGCGCAGCGCAGGAGACTCTTCTTCGCGGCGCCGCAGGTGCAGTCAAAGTCGAGGAAGCTCACGTTGATCCAGTGCGGCACGTTGTACGTCGACGCATCCATCGTCGCTGGGGGCGTTGGCGCGGCTGGCAGGGTTGGCGAGAGCGGTGCGAGCGGAATGCTTTGGTCCTCCGCCACACAGAAAAGAGGCGAGCTCGTGACGGTCGGGAGGTCCGTCGCACACTTTTTTTGCCAAATGAAAAGCGGCACCGGGTGCATCGGCGGCTTGGTGAGCGAGATCATGTCCATGCCGACGCCCGTGTCCATCATGCGCTGCTTGGTGATCTGCGCGAGGCGCTGCCGAACCTACTCACAAATGAGCTGGACTGGAGAAGACTCTGAGTCTTGCCTTGTAGACGCTGCAGCCCGCCGTGATCATGACGATGCCTTGGCCGGCGCGGTAGAGATCGCGGTCCATGTAGTGCTTGTCAAAGATGTTGAGCGTCACATTGATGGCTTCGAGCATGTTGCCGTCGATCGCGCGCGCCGGAACGCCGTGCGGGAGCGCTGTCCACTGCACCGCTACCCAATGTTTCTCGATACATTGATAGAAAGCGTCATCACAAGCGCGTACCAAAGGAGGGCGCGTTTGTCACCGGGTCGTCGACGCGACGGACTTCATACTTGGCGTGCTGTGTGTCTTGGGGCAGCCGCCACCGGTGCTGCTGCGCATACGTCGCAAACTCGCGCTTGAGGACCTTGAAGAGCTGGGACCAGTCCGGGCCCGTGTAGTCTTGGACGATCACACTGTAGAAATCTTCATAGTAGCGGCCTTCGCAGTCGACGTTGATCGACGGACCGTGCCCGGACGCCATGTGGGCCGCCGCCACGCCCGGTCCAAAGCCCTGCGATTGGCACTCGTTCGCAAACGCATAGGCTGTCGGGTCAAAGTCGTTGGGAAACTGGTCCTTCTCGTAGTAACTCCGCGAGAACATGAGGACGGTCACCGAGTGGCTCACCGAGGTTTCCTGCCACTTGGCGACGAGGCCCTACGCGCATGTAGTCGCAATAAGTTCTGAGATAGAAACCTACCCGAACCAGGCGGTTCACGAGCTTCTCAAAGTACATTTCGCCGTCGTCGTCAAAGTCCCACATCTCACGGCTCATGTGGATGAGCCAAAAGATGCGCGACGACTTGGAGCGGAGAATGAGCTTGGTGTGGCTGGCCATGACGCCGCAGAGCACAGTCTTTTCATTCGCCAAGAGCATCTCGGCCTACTCAGCCTCCGTATTGGGACGGTGTACATGCGAGACGACTATGCACCTGCGCACGCGTGCCCAACGTCTCGTACATCTTGCCCGCGTACATGCAGCGGCCGATCATGGCGACCTACGATATGTCTGTCATGGCCTCGCCGATGGAAGAGGCTCGTGCCTTGTAGCGCCAGATATCGGCGCGCGACATGAACTGGTCCTTGAACGAGAGCTCGATGAAGTCGACGGTCGCGTCCGTGGGCTCGATTTTCTACGTGGCGCAGGTAGCGAGGTGCGAAGGCGTAGATGGCTTGCTACCTGCACGACGACTTCGTGGTATGTGTCGAGCTGGAACTGCGCTGCAATGTCCTTCAAGATGCTAATCTAGATACGTCATGCATGAGCGGAGGCCACGCGGTTGCCTTCAACTTGGAATTTGCCGCGGATAGGCGCGAGCGACCGGATCTGCATGACGAGACGCGGGTGTTCGCGGTCGGGCTGCGAGATCTCCCAGAGGTCGTGCACCTACATGCAGCATAGGCGGATTCGCCAGTCGCATCATGTCGATGTAGTAGTAGTACCTTGGCATCCGGGAAGGCTTCCGGGTTGATCACGAGCTCTTCCCCCGTGCCATACTCGGGCCCATGGACCGTGAGCTTGTACGACGCTTGCAGTCGCTTCGTGCTTCGCTGCGAGCTGCTCTGCCGACGCGACGCCTTCATCGTACCGGCACGTGATGATCTTGCGTCTGATCTCCTGGCCCACCGGAGAGAACACGACCTTCAACCGGACCCAGCTGGTCGGAATATCCGTACAGCAACCGTTGCCAAGATGCGGCGGGCCCGCGCCGACCCAATGCTCGTCGTGCTGCTACTGCGGCTCGCGGGGCAGGTCCAGGCCCTCGAGCGCAAGCCGCCTGTGACCCTCGTCTTGGTGGGTGCGCCGTCGCCTTGTGCGTACAATGCCAGGATGGACGTGCGTAGGTGCGATGACATGGCTCTTTGTCTTCCGCGGGACAAGCCCGAGCATACCGACGGCAGCGCACTACGCTCTGTACGTCGTCTCTACCTCGACGCCATACTGACACGCTAATGCTAGCTGTCCGGCGATCATTCTGTGAACAAAGAGCCTGCCGAGGCTCCTCGTCTCGGCCTTTCTGCACTCGGATGCGTGGCACCTGTACCACAACCTGTACATTCTGCGCAATCGCGTTCGCCGCATGTCCATGTATAGCGCGTCGCTCCTCTGGAAGGGTGTCCAGCTCGAAGGCGCGCTTGGCAGTGCGCACTTTCTGCAGCTGCTGGCGACGCTGCTCGTTCTCGCCCAAGGCATCACCGTCGCAGCGGCCTACGTATGGGCGACGGCCACCGACTCGAACGTACGCATTGCATGCATCTTGGATATGCAGTTTGTGATGTGTAGTGGCCGCTGCGCCAGTGCTCCATCGGCTTCTCGGGCGTCCTCTTTGCTCTCAAGGTCCTTGACGCAGGGTCGACTTCGAGATCGCACGCGAGACGTAGGTGGTCCTCAACACGTCGTCACCGGCGCGCTCGCACTGGATGGGGCTGGCGCTACCCACCAAGTACCTTGCGTGGGTCGAGCTCTTGTACTTGCACGTCGCTGTCCCGCAGTCGTCGTTTCTCGGCCACCTCGCAGGAATCCTCGCTGGTATTCGCCTTTGAAGGCAGGGAGGAGGTCGCGACAGGTTGTAGGCTATCTCTACGTGAGCTGTCCGACGTGGCGCCTCAACGTTGCACCGCAGCGCTATGCGTACCGCAGCGGCGCGTCCGGCCACCGCGCGACTGCATCGACCGCGTCGAATGACCGACGTCGTATGGAGGCGGCCGACGCTGCCTACGCTCGGCGTCTCCACGCCGCCGAGCTGCGCCGCCGATAAAACTCAAACGATGTGATATTTTTTAGTGCGGTTGAGTTGATTTTGAGTTTTGAAACTTGCCATGAGCACGACAGATCGGACCGATGGTGCAGCCGAGCGCCAAGACGCGCAGCTGGCGGCGAGCGCGCCGGACGCGATCGTGCAAGTCGACAAGAACATGCTGAGTCGACTGCTCTATCCGAACCCCGTTTGCCTCTTGAGCGTCCAGAGCGGCGACGACGACGCGAGTCGCTGCCGGAACGTCATGACCATCACGTGGCTCACGCCCATCAACAACCACGTACGACGGTCAAGAGAATGAGGCACATGCATCATACCGCGCTACCTTAGGGCAAGTTTATCTGCTCCATGAACTGCAAGCGCCACACCGCGACCTTTGTCCACACTCCGGGCCAGTACTTTGGTCTGCATGCCAAGCTCGTCGTCGTCGTCTCACGCTGTTGCCTAGTGCTCAACGTTCCGACCAAAGCGCACGAGGCAACGATCCTGGCCATCGGCGGCTGCTCGGGCGCCGACGTGGACAAGTTTGAGACGCTGCAGCTGGCAACGTGCCCGCCGGGCTGGGCGCCGCTCCGGCCGCTCAAGCGCAAGCACGGAATGTCCAAGAAGGACTTGCGCGACGCCGACGTGTACGACGCCGCCTCGGGCTGCGTGGCGCTGGTACGCTCTGCCGTCTGACAAGGAATACATGTATCTGCACGCTAGGTCGACTGCGTGGCGCACATTGTGTGTCGCGTCGACGCCGTGCTCGAGACCGACGGGCACAACCTCTTGACGTGCACGCAGGTCGCTGCGTGGGCCAAGGCCGCGTACTGGAACGGAAAGCACTTTGCGCCGCAGTCGCGAGATCTGCCGCCGTACTTGACGTTCCTCGGCACCAAAGTGTTTGCATGCGTCACACCAACATTTGACGATTAAGAGCCTAGAAGAACTTGAAGCCCTTGTGGCGGCGGCCGCCAAAGAAGCCCTTGTGGCCCTTGAAGCCTTTATGACCCTTGAAGCCCTTGAAGCCCTTGTTCTTGTACTTGTAGTGCTTCACCTTGTGACCACCGTACATGACGCCCGGCTGCGCCACATACATGGGCTGCGCGGGCTGTTGGTACATGCCTTGGGGCGCGGTCGCGGTCTGGAAGAGTTGGCGGCCTTGGTTCGCGTAGTACTGCTGCTGCGGCGGGTACTGCTGCGGCGCGTACTGAGGAGCGTATTGCTGCGGCGGGTACCCGGGCTGCGCACCGTACGGCTGCTGCGGTGGGTAACCCGGTTGCTGCGGCGGATAGCCGGGCTGCTGCGGCGGGTAGCCGGGCTGCTGCGGCGGGTAGCCGGGTTGCGCGCCGTACTGCTGCTGCGGCTGGCCGGGGTACTGTTGCTGCTGGCCGGGGTACTGCGGCTGACCGGGATGAGGCTGTTGGTACATCGAAGACAAAGGAAATCTATGCTTTCCCCCTTGATGTGACTGCATAAAACGTGGGTACACAGGTTTTATGCAAAATACACGTTTTATTCGTTTGGGCCACCTTCGGCAGTAAAGTCACGCTATAACCTTCACATTCCTACGATATGATGCAGTTGACGGCGACTGCGTAGATGTTACTGGTCTGGAAGGCTCGTCGTGGGCCGCATCCCGCAGACGATGTTGGGTGCATCGCGGCAAACCTACATTCCGCGCCTGACCTTGCCCGTAAAACGCAGTTTAACTCCGTTTACCCGTTGCATTAAACGCGGTGATGGGAAGGCCAAATTGAAGTTGGTATCCGGAGCGACCGAATTCCTGCAAACGGAAATGTGGTCAGTTAGTTGACGACGGGAAAGGCCACACCCCGTAGCTCAACAACAAGCCGACTAAGCTAGCCGACTACGGTAATATCTACCCGGGTTCACCACCAAGCCGTCTAGTGACTCCATCTAGGACAAAGCCATAGTACATTTCCGGTCTCGACTATTCACATACAGATTAGAAGAATTTGAAGCCCTTGCCCCGGCCGTAGTAGCCGCCGCGGCCCTTGAAGCCCTTGTAGCCGCCACCCATGAAGCCGCCGCCCATGAAGCCGCCGCCGCCCATGTAGCCGCCGCCGCCGTAGTAGACGCCAGGTTGCGACACATACATGGGCTGCGGCGCCATCATCACGGGTTGCTGGTAGACAGGCTGCTGGTAGACTGGCTGCTGGTACACGACGGGCGGCGCCGTGGCGGCCTGGAAGAGCTGCTGGCCTTGCTGGGCATAGTATTGCTGCTGCGGCGGGTACTGCTGCGGGGCGTACTGCTGCGGAGGGTACTGCTGCGGCGGGTACTGCTGGGGCGGGTAACCAGGCTGCGGCGGGTACTGCTGGCCGGGGTACGGCGCTCCGGGTGGTGGCTGCTGGTACATGCTCCTTCCACAAGCCAAATCGAGAAGTGGTCGGATATGTTTGGAGTTTAACGTGGGTACATGGGTTTTATGCCATAAGGCGCACGGGGCTGCAAAGGTACGACGCAATGCCACCATACGAAGAAGACCCGTGAAGATTGTGCCGGAATGAGCTGCTCGAAAGACTGTACATTTGCTACAATATGACCTCGGCATTTGGTACTGTGCGCAAGCTTGCTGGGCTTGGCGACCGGCATCGGAAGCTTCGCTCGTTGGTTCTTGGGTGAGATCAGATCAGATACACTGTTTCACAATTGACATTGCCCGCCACGTCATTTGCCTTCTACAAATTTGTAGTACTGCGCAGGATGCCAACTTCACCCGTCGATTGCTCTCGTAGATGGCTTGCTTGGACCAAGATCTTGTTTCGTTTTAAATGTTCAGTCGACCTGTTGGCTGTGCTCTCACTGTGTTTGTGCAATGGATATTCCGTCTTGAGAAACACTGTTTCAAACAGAATATAATGCTGCAAAAACAGAATTTCCTTGCTCCAAAACGTACGTGGCGACCTTTAGTCTATTGTAGCTATACCAGCCGACGCCTTAGTTGGTGGTGGCTTAAACTCTATGAGTAAGGAAACTAGCGCCCTACCTGACAAGTAGGGTTCCAAAGAATTTATTTCTTTGGCAATTTATGTGGGACCCATGGAACGGTTTTTGCGACCCACCCCCTACTTTGGGGTGGGGGGCGAGAGCCGGTCCCCTCCTCTGAATTCACCAATTTGACAAGGACAGTAGCAATGGAAAACTAGATCTGTAGTCGATTATACTATCTCTTTATGAGCGCTTGAGCGCAAGCTGGAGGAGCGTCTTCATACCGCGCAGCCAGTCCTTGTGCGCCGCCCAGTCGGACGTCGCGAGACCCGTGTGGATGTGCAAAGCACTCCGAATGTCGCTGCGTCCGATGGCACCGACCATGTCGTGGAGGCTCTTAACGACGCTCGGGCTCAATTCGGCCGCGTTGAGCTTCGTAAACATCAGGTCCTTGGTCTTTTGGCCCTCGACAAGCATCTTTTGCTCCGCCTAAGTCCAAATACCATGAGTTTTTGAAAATCGCTAATGGAACTGTTGTCGTACCGGGTTGAGCGAGGCGCCCTCCAGTCGGGCGACCAAGCCGTTGAACGTCTCGACAATGACCATGTCTTCGGCCGAGACGCTGTCCGTGCAGCCGAGCGGGGCCGTGGGCGCCGAGAAGCCCTTCTTCTCATCTTCCGTCGGCGACAAGATGGCATTCGTCGCATTGCCATACTTGCGGATGAGGTCCTTGTTGCCAACGCTGCTCACAAAGCCGTCCGTCTTGTGGCGGTTGATGTCGACGGGCGCCGTCACGATGCGCGACGACGTGGCCGGCACCGACGACTGCGACGCCGTCCCAAACGTCTGAGCCGGTGCCGGGGCGTACGCTTGCGGGGCACTGGGGTACGCGGCCGCCGGCGGCGCAGCAGGCGCGCCGTACGAGGCGCCTGCACGGTATTGACCCGCCGGTGCGGCAGCAGGCGGCTGCGACGGCGTGTTGAATCCTTGGCCGGGCTTGGGGTACCCGCTGTTGGAGCCAGGGCCGTAGGTCGCAGCCGGCTTCGGGCGACCGCTGTTGGAGCCCGGGCCGTACGTCGCAGCGGGTTTGGGGTAGCCGCTGTTGGAGCCCGGGCCGTATGCGCTCGTTTGCTGGCCAGGGTACGTCTGGTAGCCTGGCTGGGCCGGCGCGGGAGGCGCCACAGCAGGGTTCGGGTACACGGCCGCAGGAGGGTAGCTAGCAACTTGGGGTGCAGCGTAGCCGGGGGTGGCGCCCGGGTACGCCGGCGCAGGCGCATTGTACGTTTGGTTGGGGTACGGCGCGGGCACCGACGCCGGGTACGGGCTGGCTGCCGGCGCCGCGTGGACCGCCGGGGGCGCCGGGTAGGCGTTGGCGGCAGCGGGCGGCGCATACGCGTTGCTCGGAGCGGCATAGGGCTTGTTGGCAGCAGGCGCGGCATACTGCGTGTTACGTGCGGGCGCCTGGCGCTGGGTCTGCTGGGTCTGCTGGGGCGCGGCGGGCTGGGCCGCGGCAGCATCCGCAAACGGGAACGGCGGGGCGCGGACACCGGGAGTCGGCGCCGCGTGGAAGACGCGGTCGCGGATAATCGCACAGCTCAAGTCCGTATACTTGGCGTACCGGGCGGCGATATCGAGGCGACCCTGCGACGCCATCTACACAGCAGGCAATAAGTCCACCACGTCGATCAAGAATGGCGATACGTACGAGGGACGCGTACGCAGCAAATTGCTCGGCAATTGCCGGGCTCAGATCTTGGTCCGGGTTGGCGGTCGCTTGCGCAAAGATGGAAATCTTCTCAATGAGATCTTGGAGCACCGACACCGGGTCGCGCGTCTTGGCCTGGACAGCAGCTTCCTTGACCCACGCCGAGTAAATCTTCTCGACGTTCACCGAGCACATGTAGCAGAGTGTCGCCGATGTGCGATCGCCCGCGGCCTCGAGCTTGGCCGCAAGCCGGTCGCAGAGCGGCGCAAACTCGTCGCTCTTGGCGTACGTGGTGAGAATTGCAAGCGTCTCGGTCCAGAGCGCGGGCTCCGAGTCGTCGACAAGCGAGCCCAGATCGCTCTTGAGCATCGCCTTGACGATCTTCATGAACGGCCGCGCCGTGGCCGCCGCGATGCAGGCCTCCTGCGCCACGTTCCAAAGGTCGGCGCCGCCTTGGCATGCCAGCAGGAGCGCATCGGCAAACTGGTTGTTTTGGAGGCAGACCTCGACGGCCGACGCAAAGTCGCCGACCAGGAGCGAGCGCTTGATAACGTCTTCCGACGCCTCCGTGTACTGCGGCAGCGACACGGGCGAGAGGCGGGCACTCGAGTCCTTGGGCGCCGCCACCGGAAGGTTCGCGCTGAGGCTGTCCGTCGAGAGGCTACCGGCGGCAAAGATGTCTTCGGCGGATGCCGAGGACGGGGCCGCCGCGATCGGCGCGGGCTCCACGGCCTTGCCCAAGTACTTGTCTGCGTCCGCCTTGATCTTAGCCGCGTCGTAGCCCAAATGGTAGAGCAGGTGCTGACGCGCGTCGTCCTCAAAGAGCACCTTCATGAAGCTCCAGACGTCAGCGTCGGCCGGCGACGACGCAATCTTCTTGTCGCAGTGCCCCTTGAAGTCCTTACCGGCCAGCGCTTGCTCCAAGAGATCGGCCGCCTGCACCGTCGCGGGGTCCGTCACGATCTTGTGAATGTGCACCGGACGGTACTCCTTGACTTGCTGGTACTGCGACTGCGCCGGGTTCGGGTACGGCGTCACGACCGTGAGCTGGCCGCCAAAGCCAAAGGTCGCCGAGGCCGGGCGCTGCAGCCACTTGGGCGCGCGCGTCGACGGACCGCCGCTGCCCGCGAGGCCCCACACTTGGACCTTGCCGTCAAACGTGCAGGCAGACGCGACCGCGGGGATCTTGGGCGACCACTGCACGTTGAAGCGGCGCTGACCACCGCCACCACCGGCAAAGAACTGACCGGGGCCACCGACTGGAGCGGACGGCGAGTTGGACGGAAACTCAAACGTCGGCTGGCCCGAGAAGAGGTCCCAGAGCAACGTGCGGTTGTCCTTGGCCGTCGAGAGCACGAGGCCCGGGTCGTTCGGACACCATGAAATCGAGAGGATGCCCGCCGTGTGGCCGTGCAGCTCGGCGAGGGGCGTCGACGTCGAGCTGCGGAGGTCCCAGAGCCGCAGGACCGGGCGCTGGTCGTCGCTGGACGCTGTGATGATATGCATGCCCTCGCTCGGGTTCCATGCGATCGCCGACACGGCGCCGCGCTGCGGGTCCTTGAGTTCGCACCACGGCTTCTTCTGCTTGAGGTCCCAGATCGTTACGGTACCATTCTGCGAACCCGCAGCGAGAATGTACGACACTTGCGAGTTCCACGCGACGCTACGCAGTCCGATGAGACGTGCGATCTCGATGAAGTTGCATGTACCAAGTGATTTCGTTGCCAGGCTGTGCGACATAGCTGGGGCCACCCGGCGTAAAGACCTGCGGCGGTGCGTTGAGCTTGTCGACGCTCATAATAAAGACTTCGCCGTCCCTGCACACAAACACGAGGCATGAGTCACAACGGTCACGTTCGATTGGACGTACGCGCCACCCGAGGCCAGCAAGTGCGAGCTGTCTCTGTGCGGGTTGAACTGGAGCGCGTTGACAGGGCCCTTGTGACGGGCGACCTTGCCCACTTCCGCCGCGGCCTGCGTCGCCGGGTTGCTCATCTTGCTGGGGTCCCAAATGCTCACGGTGCCGTCGGCCATACCGCCGGCGAGGAGGCCCAATTCGCACGTGCTCTGATGCTTCAGGACATCAGCCCACGACATGGTCATGAAGCGCGACGACGTCTTGATGCTGCCCAATTGCACGGGCAATGGCGACACGTCGGCAAAGTCCATCGAGAAGAGCTGGAGCTCGCCGCCATAGTTGTCGAAGCCGACGCCGACGCCGTCCTTGGATCCGAGGGCCATGAGGTTGGCTCTGTGCTTCATTGGGCTCCATGCCACCGTCGCATGGGCGTTCACTTCCTTCAGGAGCGACATTGCGGTCGGGCGAAAATGAGGTTTTGCCTTGGACACGTGCGTCGCACATGCGCGGCCGCAGCTTTTTTTAAATTTCGCACCATTTTATTCCACTGCGATCATACAAATCCCCCTCGTTGGTGCATTTAATTACGCGAGAATATATCGAATACTGACTGCAGCAACGAGCGGTTGCCCATAAAAATTAGCGTTGCGCACGTTGATTGGTCAAAAGCCACGGTCGATTCGACCAAAATGGCCAATCAGAGGCTGCTTCGTCAATCCATCCACAGCCTCGATGATTCGCCAAAAAGATGATTCGCCAAAAAGAAATCTTTTATGCCAATCATATCCTGGGCAGTATCCGGATGTGTCGGTAACGAAGAGACTGGGCATTTGGAAGCGACCACCCGCATTACACGTCCCGCAATTATCCGGATAGTCGGCGTAACGAATATGAGCAGTCAGTGGCGACAATGGACCGGTTCATTGCTGTCTTTGGCGGTTCTCCGAACGTTAAACTCGGCTAATGGCGAGCTGACCTAGCTACGCTGGTATCTATCGGCTGCCCATGTGGTATGGACCGCGCGCTGGCCCGAGACAGCACCCGTCCGATCTTTTGCGGTCGAGGTCAACTTCAACGAGCGGCGGACTCGAAGCGGATCATTTGTTTGCCGTCTTTTCATGACTTGGTGTTTGTATGCTGAAACTTCGATCGATCGAAGTTGACAGGGCGATAACGCAAATGGCGGTCGCTGATTGGCTCAGCGCAGTCCAGCAACCAGATGCAGAAGTGGCGCCCGTAGAATAGGAGCGGTTGCAGCGTTTCACCGCGTTTTGGCAAATCAGGGGCGGGGATTTCTTGCCCGGATTTTTATTTTCGCTTTTTCGGCCGGGAAGAGAGCATGGCGACGCCCGGCGTCATCAGCAAGCAAGGCGCCAAGGGCGAGGAGAGCGAGTCCATGCCCATCAACGTTGGGGACATGGTCTGGGTCCCTGGCCACGACGCGGTGTGGGAGCTCGCGTCGGTCATGGCCATCGGCGGGCTCAAGGTGACGGTGCGCAACCACCACAACAAGGTCGCGCAGGTCGACCGCGGCCTCGCGCTGCCTCAGAACCCGCGCGTGACCGACGATATGACTGCGCTCTACTACATCCACGAGCCGGGTGTTTTGCACAACCTCTCGGAGCGTTCGAAGCTCGACAACCAGCGCCCGTACACGTTTATGGCCAACGTGCTCATTGCGGTCAACCCGCTGCGCCCGCTGGCGGACCCGCGCGTCTCGGAGATTGTCAACAACACGAGCTGCCCGCCGCACCCGTATGCGATTGCCGAGATGGCCTACCAGCAAATGGTCTACAACTCGACGCGCGAGATGCCCACGAACCAGTCCGTTGTCATTTCCGGCGAGGTACTACATTGCACTCTGTCTCGATGGCTGATTCAACGCGTTGGCTTGCTTTAGTCGGGTGCCGGTAAGACCGAGTCGTCCAAGATCGTGCTCAAGCACTTGACGACGCGCGGTGTCTTTGGCAAGAAGACGAACGCGGCCGAGGTCGAGACGTTTGTCAACAAGCGCCACGAGAACACCAACTCGCTCGACAACCGCCTCATTGAGCAGAACCCGATCCTCGAAGCCTTTGGTAACGCCAAGACGCTCCGCAACCACAACTCGAGTCGATTTGGCAAGTTTATGAAGCTCCAGTTCACGTCGGACGGCCTTTTCAAGCTCGCGGGGGCGTTCGTCGAGACGTACTTGCTCGAAAAGTCGCGCCTCGTGTACCAAGTCGATGGCGAGCGCAACTTTCACATTTTCTACCAGCTCCTCGCCGGCGCGTCGGCCGACCAGAAGCGCGACTTCCAGCTCACGCGCCCGGAAGACTACCACTACCTCAACCAGAGCAACTGCTACAAGGCCGAGGACACGGACGACAAGGCCAACTACGCGCACGTTGTCAACGGCCTCTCGTGCGTCGGCCTTCCGGACGCCAAGCAAAACACCATTTTCTCGGTCGTCGCCGGTCTCTTGCACATGGGCAACATTGAGTTTGACGAAGAGGACACGCCGGAAGGCGAGGCTGCGATCGTGCAGTCGACCGACGCGATCAAGGCGCTTGCGCTCTCGGCCAAGCTCCTCGGCGTCGACGACAAGGCGCTGCTCAAGGTCATCACCGAGCGCGAGATTGTGACGCGCAACGAGCTCTTCATCGCGCGCCGCAACGCGCAGAACGCCGTGTACGCGCGGGATGCGATCGCCAAGTCGGTCTACGGACGTCTCTTTGACTGGATCATCCAGCAAGTCAACAAGTCGCTGGGGCAGGACCCGGCGCCGCTGCCGTACATTGGCGTGCTCGATATCTTTGGGTTCGAGTCGTTCCAGCGCAACGATTTCGAGCAGCTTTTGATCAACTACACGAACGAAGTGCTGCAGACGACGTTCAACAACCAAGTGTTTATCGCGGAAATGGAGCTCTACAAGCGCGAAGGCATCTCGGTCGGCAAGATTGACTGGCCGGACAACCGCGAATGCGTCGAGCTCATTGCCGGCAAGCCCTCGGGTATCCTCCAGCTGCTCGACAACGAAGCCGCGAACCCCAAGCCGACGGACGCCAAGTTCCTCGCGATGCTGCACCGCACGCACGACAAGAATACGTTCTTTCCGCGCCCGCACCCGAAGGACTTGCAAGAGATGTTCATCGTGCGCCACTTCGCCGGCTGCGTCTCGTACACGGTCGGCGCGTTCATTGACAAGAACAACGACACGATCCCCAAGGACATGGCGGACCTCTTTTTGAGCTCGTCGATGCCGGAAGTGCGCGAGCTCTTTGACGAAGAGGCGAACGAGGTCGTCAAGCCCGGCAAGAAGAAGCTGCTCAAGAGCGTCGCCGCCAAGTTTTCCAAGCAGATGCAGGAGCTGGTCGACACGCTCGACGCGACGCGCTGCAACTTTATCCGGTGCATCAAGCCCAATGCGCTCATGCGCGTCGGGCTCTTTGACCCGCGCTACGTGGTCGGCCAGCTGCGCTGCCAAGGCATCATGCAAACCGCCCAAGTGCTCAAGGTCGGCCTTCCGACCCGAGTCGCGTACTCGGAGCTCGTGAACGCGTACAAGAAGTTTATGCCGCCGGACGCCCAGCGCCTCTTTGCGAACCAGAGTGACGCGACGCTCATCACGGCGATCCTCTGGGCGTTCCAAGTGCCGATGGACTCGTACAAGCTCGGGATCACCAAGCTCTTCTTCAAGGCCGGGAAAATTGCGATCCTCGACTCGATTCTCAAGATCAACTGGGCCGTCGATGGCCCGCACATTGTGGGCCGCATGAAGCTCTGGCTTGCGCGCCGCCGGTGGCGCGTCGCGCTTGCGAAGGTGCTCGCGCAGCTCGAGCTCCGCCGCCTCTTGCGCAAGATCCAGTTCCGCAAGGACAGCGTGCGCAAGATTCAGATTTGGTGGCGCGGCTTCAACGTGCGCCATCAGTTTCTCAAGCAGAAGGCGTCGGCGATCATGATCCAGGCGCACTTTCGCGGCCACAAGGGCCGCCAAAACTACAAGGCCAAGAAGCTCGAGATGATTGCGCTCGCCAACGCTCGAGCCGAAGAGAGCCGTCGCCAGGCCGAAGAAGCCAAGCGCCAGCAGGAAGCCGCACGCCGGGCGGCCGACGAAGCGCGCCGCACAGCCGACGCTGCTCTGCGCGAAGCCGAGCTCCGCGCTGTGGCCGAAGAAGAGCGCCGCCGCATGGAAGACGATGCCAAGCGTGCCGAAGCCGAGGCGATTTCGCTTGCGCGCGCCGCCGAAGCGGCCGTGCGGGAAGCCGAGGTGGCGGCGGCCGAGGCCGCGGCTGCTGTCGAGCAGGAGCGCCAGGCCGAACGCCGCGCGATGCAAGAAGCGCACGACCTTGAGCAGCGCATGATCCGCGAGCGCGAAGAGGCCAACAAGCGCAAGGAGCAAGCGCTGTTGGATGCGGCCGCGCTGAGCGCAAGCCTCCTTGGCGGTCTCGCGACGGTCAACGCGATGTCGTCGACGCAGGGCTGCAACGTCAACGTGGTCGACATTCCGGACAACATTTCGGATGAGAACAAGGAGCAGCTCAAGCAGCTCAACGAACTCCTTCTGAGCGGCGCGATCGACCAGTCAGAGTACGAAGAGCTGGTCCCGTTCCTTCTGGAGCCGCCGCAGCCGCCGCAGGGTCCGGTCATGACGCCGGAAGAAGCCGAGTCGCTCCAGCGCCTCTACTCTGCGCAGGCGGCCGGTATCCAGATTCGGTGCCCGGCCTGCGGGTCGTCCAACAACACGGCCAACGGCAACAACTGCATGGAGTGCGGCTCGATGCTCACGGCTGCGAGTGGTCCGCGCTCGAGCGCGGCCGACCACCGCTACTATGGCTACCGCACACGGTCCATGTCGACGCTGGCGCTCTCGCAGCCGCCGGGCACGTTTAGCATGGAAGGCACGCGCATCCTGATCCACGACGGCTACTTCCAGTGCGGTCTCCACGGCACGCAGATGCTCCAGGACGAAAACTACGCCGAGTACACGGTGTACGTGTTGCGCTGCGGGTGGCAGCCCAAGGACGCGCCGCAGCCCACGTACTGGCTCGTCTCGCACCGTTTTAGCGTCTTCGAGAAGCTCCACAAGGACCTCAAGCACAAGATCCCGCCGAACGTGGGCGCGCTCCCGCTCTTCCCGAAGAAGCACCGTCTCGGCGGCGTCTTTGCCGGCCGCACGGGCAACTCGAACGAAATCGTCGAGGAGCGCAAGGCCGGTCTCGAGCGCTACATGAAGGAAGTGCTCGACCTCTGCGCTCGCCTTCCCAACACGCTCGCGGTGCCGGAGCTCGACCGGTTCCTCAACCTCTCGCGCCAGGTCCAACAGATCCAGCGCCAGAACGCGACGGTCATGTCGTCGTCGGGTATGTCGGGCGAATACCCCGACTCACCGACCAACTCGAACGTCGTTGGCGCCGAGGCGCTTGCGGCCCGCGAACGCGCGCGCCTCCCGACCGAGCTGCCCACGCCGCTGGACGAAGAGGAGCTCATGCAAACCGAGCAGGCGGTCGCTGTGCTCTTGGGTGCGATCCGCAGCGCCCAGGGCGATTTACGGCGCAACTCGGAGGTACAGCACTTGCTCAAGGTCTGCGTGCAGCTCCAGCCGCGCCTGCAAATGTCGGCCAACCTCGACAACCCGTTTGCGAACGTCGAGCTCATCCCGCGCGCGATGCAGTGCCAAGAAGACTTGGAGATGACCATTGGACTGTACAATGACTCGTTGCTCGCCGTCACGGAAACCTACACCATCTCGGGCGCGCCCGCGCCGCCCGCGCCCTTTGTGCCGGGCCAAACCAACTCGTACCAACGGTCGTACGGGTACTAGGAACCCACCCCTTTGCATCCCGCTCTTGTCTACGTTTTTAATATACGCATGTAGCCTTTACTTCTCCATCCTACTAGCACCTCCGACTCCAACGCCATCGCTGTGGACTCGGGTCTTTTCGGAGGGTCCGTGTACCGCGGTAGGTCCTACCCCGACCCCTATCACATGGACCTAGTCAGTGGTCGGGCAACGCAACGCGGTTAGGTTAAGAAGTTGGGGACGAGGTAGGGGTTTATAATAATGGGCGGGCAGGTGATATACATACGACTAGGAGGAGTGGCCTATGGGCTCTGGGCAGCTTCGTCCTGCTCTGTCTTGCGGAGGACCTCGAGCTGTGGTGTCGCCGGCGCGGGTGCGTTGACACCGCGGAGCGTCGCCGTGTCGACGGCGTCGTACATCTTGGAGATGATGCTCATGATCCACTGGTTGGCGCGGGTCTTGCGGTTGGTTGCCGTCGCGCTCGGGATCGCGGTCAAGTCGAGAACCTCCTCGTCGTTCTCGACCGTCGACCGAAACTTGACAAAGACGCGGCAGCGCGCCGACGAGTCGGTGACGCGCTCAAACGACAGCCTACAAAGAGTAGACTTTCATGAGGACCCATCGGAATGGTGTACTACTACGGACCAGCCGGCAATCGAGAGGTCGCCGTGCTCCACCGGGTTGTTGACGGGGTACGTCGAGTCTTCGGCGATCGTACGAAAGGTGATGACGACGCGCGAGTCCTCGACGAAGCGGCGCTGGAGCATGTTGAGCGTCAGCGGCAGGTTGGGCCCAATGCCGTCTTCAATCAGAATGCGAGTGTAGCACGTGTTGATGTCGATGACCTCGAGGCTCTGCAGAGACAGGTTTATCGTCGGCGGAAGAGATGTAGTCGAAGCGTACCGACGTCTTGCGTGGGAGGTTGCCCGTCGACATGCGCGTGAACGACTCCCAGCCCGACTGCGCGACGACGGCAAAGGGACAAGGCCACATGCGATGGCGCACGAGGTCGACGGACGAGTCGCCGAGGAAGATCTTGGTCTTCTCTTCGATCGTGTGGCCAATGTACGAGTGCATATAGGAGAGCGCCACGTCGAGCTGTCGGTGCATTTGCCCGCTGATCCAGCGGTACCCTTGGGTCCGCGTGTACTCGCACCCAATGAGCGTGTTCATCACGAACGGCTCGTTCTCGAGCAGCTAGAAACGACAGCGTGAGGGCCCTTCTGCACACGATTGGCGATACCAGCGGGTTGTTGAGCACGGCGTTGTCGACAAGGATGCGCTTATAGTACATCTGGATAAGGTTGCGGTGCGACGTGGTCGAGACCGTCAGGAGCTCCTTCTCCTCGACGGCCTCTTCGCGACGGCGCTTCTCCGACTTGGTGGCCTCCTTCCACTTGGCAATGTTGCGTAGAGTCTCTTCGGGGTCCAGGTGGGTCGTCGCCTTGCGCCGGGCGGCCCGCATTTGGAGCGCCCGGAGCTTGTGTTCCATGGCCTCGGCCGCTGTGCGCAGTTCGGCGTGCTCGCACTGCTTGCGCTGGCGGTGGCGAATGTTGTTGATGCGGTGGCGGTCAAGGCGCTTCCGCTCCTGGAGGTGCTTGGTCATGCCCTCTTCGTCGGCCGACTCGAGGTAGTAGTGTAGCATTGAGACGTCGTCGGCGCTAAAGGCCACGGGCGTTGCCTCGAGGTCCTTGGCGTGGACCTGCGTCGGCTCTGGCACGTCGTCGTCGTCGTCGTCGCCGTCGAGTGGGTCCTCTCGGCGCAAGAGCTGGTTGCTCGCCTCGAGCTTCATCATCGTTATCATTGTGGTGCTGGACCAAATTTCTAGAGTTTAGCACCCACTTTTGTCCCTGACTCTTTGCATACAAACACCAAGATGTTTTGTGACGTAACTCCTCCGCGAAGTAGGACAAAAATGTCGAACTCCAAGCCGATGCCTTGTCGAAGATTGGCGCTGCGATTGGCTGATTTTTGCTAATGCAGCCAATCGTATGCGAGTCGAGCCGGCTTTTTCGCAAATGGATGGGCGAGAGTCGACAGACGCGATAGGGATTGGCTGAAATCGTGACCATTTGCGTTTGGCAACCGTCATCGCATCCACCCACCAGAAAGGACGTATCCCCAAATAGTTGAGAGCTGCCGTGCGCTGGTGCTGGGACGACCGATGTAGCGCACGGGCACCAACAGACTGGCCACGACGTTTGTCCTCCACTGTCGCCAAATCCGTCCGAAGACTTCCGCCGATCATCCCGCCTACCCAGTCCGATATACTAGAATTTGTATGTCACCGGCTACGTGACCGACCACATTGTCGTTCGCAGGCTGATATTACCACGCCATTTTCAAGCACTCGTTGCTGCCGTGTCGGCCTGCCACAACAGCACCTCGATGTCGCTTCATGGTAGACGATCCTATGTAGCCGCAAGCGCTGCGATACAAGGAACCTGCCCATGACGCATCTCAGTGCTTATCCTTGCACACGACGCTGGCGCACGAAGGTTGCGTGTGCTTAGCTTCAAGCACGGGCGCTGGAGACCATAACGGCACCTGAATTCTCGTCCTATCGCGCTCCGATTGGCCAGCTCGTTATCGCTCCATAAAGTGCGCTCCGGTCCTCTCACGTGCGCCGCCGCCGGATGCGGCCGCAATATCGTGTATTGCAGGTCCTGTGAGAGCGTATACTTTAGATTGGCCAATCAGAGCTGATATGTGTATTTTAGCCAATGGAACACGCGATGCACATCGATTGGTTGAAATAATATTTGGTTCCCAGGCTTCGTCATCCGGCGGGGTTCCCAGCCAACCAACCGGTAACGAAGCCAGGGTTTCATCCTGCGGTGGCTCACTCTCTTTCTTTGGCATTATAGCTGCAAAAGTTTAATCAGGATGACCAACTTGCACTACACGCACCCCCGTAACTACGGCAAGGACTCGCGCCACTGCCGCACGTGCGCCACGACCCGTGGTCTCATCAGCAAGTACGGCCTCAACATGTGCCGCCGCTGCTTCCGTGAACGCGCCACGCAGATTGGCTTCATCAAGGTACCGATTGCGAGTAGGCGCCGAGATGCTCATGTTCCCTGCTCTTGTAGTACCGGTAAATTAGCACCATGGCCTCGCGCGCCTGGTGTTGTTGGAGAGACAAGGCCGCCGCGCGATGCGCAGCATTCGACTTCGGTGCTGTGGAAAGAAAGGGACATCCATACCAAAGTGGCGCCGTGACCGCCGTTGTCTGGATTTAACACGTTCGTGGTAACATGGTCATTGCGCTATACTCGTGCGTCTCGGTTCGGCGCTCGGCCACGGCGGCTGGCGCAGCTTCTAGGACCGCATCTTGTACCTTCGCCTGTTGCTACGCACGTACTGTCGTAGTGCCCTCTAGAGCCAACGTCCTGTAGGCATATAGAGCGAGCCTCACGTGGCACGAGAGCGCGCTGGCGCCTCATGGAAGCGAGACGTATACGGCGAGGCCGGCCATGAACCTTGCGCTGGTGGCCCTTGTTGTTGGAACGCCTCGTATCCGGATTCCTTCGACTGACAAATCTTGCGAAATGGATTTCGAGCCGGAGTATGCTCTCCTGCGCGCAGCGACAGAGCGCGCGTGGGCGATCGAGAAGCGGCTTGGCGTGTCCATGCTCGACTACCACATGGACGACAACCGGCGCATGGATTGGCGGACCATCGACATTCCGCGCGACGTCGCGTCACGCATCGCGCACATCGCGACCAAACTCCGGGACGATCCGAGCATGGAGATGGCAGCCCCCAAACCGCTGCGTCGGAAACCTGCCGTAAAGCCCAAAGCACCGGTGGTCACGCCAGTCGCTGTACTGCCACGAGCCGCGCCCAAGCCCGAGACGCCAGCGCCTATCGCGCCCGTCCGTGTCATCAAACCTGCGAACGAAGCGCGTGCGACGGCCCTTCGAAAAGAGATCCGCGACGCCCGGGCGCAGAAGGAGAACGACCGCAACAAGGCGAACGAGGCGGCCAAGAACACTCTACCAAAGCGCGTCCGCAGGCAAGAGCCACCGCCGCTGTCGGTCGCAACGGCGCCACGGAGCATCGAGCCACTGCCAGTGTTGCAGCTCACGACACCGCCCCGCCCTTTATTGGCCACACGCTCTCCTCCACGACCCGCCACGCCACCACTCGCTTCACCTTCTCCTCTCGCGCCCTCACAGCGCCCCGTCGTAGCGTCTGAGGCGCCCGCGCAGCCTTCCTCACCTTCCATACCCTTTGAAGGCAAGCAAGTTCCAGACGCATCGTCAGCTTCGGCGCCGTCTTCGCCAGTCCACGAGGACCTGCCGCCAAGGCGCGTTGCACCGACCCAAGTCCCGTCTGCGATCGGGAAACAAGTGCGCTTCCTCTGCACGGTGGCAAGCGCTAAGATATGATTGTACTAGGTGCTCTCGGACCACCGGACCATGCCATCAGCGACGTTTGGTTTCCCTGCCGACGTCGTGTATGGCGGCGTCAGCACAGGTCCGTCCATGACGCTGCTTCGGCGGCTCTTCAACGACCTCGACAGCGACCGCGACGGGTACCTCACCAAGCTCGAGGTCTCGGTCGCGCTGCACCGCCTCCGCATCACGCTGCACCCGACGCGCATCTCGCTCTTTTTCGAACAAGCGGCGCAGCTCGCACACTCGTCGCGGCGCCTCATCGAATTTCGGCAGTTTGCCGCGTTCGTCCTGGCCGCGCACCAACACCCGGAACGAGACGTCGCAGTGGCGCCTCCAAAGCCGCCGCCGCCACCGACGACGCCAGTGCCGGCGCCGATTGTCGTGGCGGACACTTCAAGCGATGCGCCGCCGATGCACGTTGTCGAGGCGTCGGTCACCGACTACGTGGTGAATCGCATTGTCGAGTCGCTACAGAGCGAGATGCCGCCAGAGGTTGCTGCGAGCCTGGACGAAAACGTAGGCTTGTCGACGATTTGGATGACTTTACGTTTGGCTAGGTGCTGCGGGAGCTCACGCGGCAGCTGCTTGCCGACCAGAGTAAGTGGCGACCCGCAGCGAGCATCGATGAGCTAGAGCCAAGCCAGCTCACGGAGCCACCGCCTTCAGAAGTGCACGAGCTCGAGCCGGACGACGATAGAACCATGCTCGACCTGGTCAAGACGCTAGTTCAAAACGAGTTGCGTCGCGAAGTGGCGACTCCGCCGATGACGATGCCACCGCCGCAGCCAGTGGTAGCCAAGGAAGTCACCGACATGGCCACCGACACGACCGGCTTGGCGCCACCCGAGCCGCCATCGCCAGTGGTCGAAGACAAGGAAGTACAAGTGGTTGCTGACGAAGGGGAGGCGGCACCGGCGCCGTCTTGGACGCTGGAGGACCTTCCAGGGAGAACCCTCCTCGGAAAGCTCCTGCACGCGTCGCCCGACCAGCGCGCGTCCATTGCGCAGCAACGCCGCACGGACGACCCTACACCACTCATGACGACGCTTCGGGCGCTTCGCATGCAGCGGTTGCAGCGCACGTCCGCACCCGCTCCCCTCAATATCGCTCATATCGTGCCGGCGCCGCCCGTAATCCCGCCGCCAATGACAGTGGTTGACATGCCACCGCCACCCGCGCCACCGCTGTCTCCAGTCACAGCAACTTCGTACCCGTCACAGACTCGTCACGAGCCTGAGATGGCGCCCGCGGCCTCCAAGCTCTACGCCGTACCTTTGGAGCGCGAGGTGGTTGCGAGTCTTGCATCGCTCTCTCGGTACACATATGTCTCGATACATTGATACTTATGTCAAGTGTAGGTCGTCCGAGGTCAGCGCGAGCTTTAGCAGTGAGAGCCGCTGCGATAGCGACCGTGGTGACGGTATGTCTGAAGGCGAGCTCGTGGAGCCAAACACACTGAGCGACGGCGAGATTCTGGACGACCCGCTCGTGCGAGCAACGTTTTACCACACACAAAAGCTCTCGCTGCAGCGCAAGCGGGAGCGTCGGCGCCTGTCGCCATCGTCGTCCATCGAAAGCGGCGAGCTCTTCCATCAGGTAGAGCGTCCTCCATCATCGCACGCCAAGTCATGGTTCGATGTAGCGAGATATCTTTCCCAGTCCCTGCGACAGCCCGCGCAGCGACAGCACCGGCTCACATGCCTCCTCCTCTTCCTCGTATTCCAAGGGCTCGTTTACGGGCTCTGTTCGTGCAACGTCGTCCACGGGCAGCTTCGAGTCGGGCCAATATGCGCCCTAAAGTTGACCTTCGACATTGCGGTCTTGTGGCTGAGTAGAGGACGAAGGTGATTGTCGTTTGGGTGCTACGCCCATGTATCGCACCACCAAGCGCTTTCTACGCTTTTGCAAGGAACAAGACAGTGTCTTATTGATTTGCCTGTAGCGACGCATGGAGTTGGCAGCGCCCAAGGATGCTACCGTCAGCAGCGGCGGCTCCTTGGTCCAGTTGGGTGCGCGAGATCCTTGCTTGGACGACTCTGTGTTGTACGACGCACTACAGCGCTTCGTCGTTGGTTGCAGCAGATGCACGTGTCGAGGTCCCGCTGCAGTGAAATTGCGAGCGCCGAGTCAGTTTGAAAGGCCAAATTGCGTGCATCTAGCCAGTCGACCGCGATTGGACCGTTATTTATATATTTATACGCATACAAACCGCAAGCTGCAATAGAATTTGTCGCCCGATGCTCGCCAAGGCCACGTCCATGGGCGCGTCGGCGCTCGAAGCCGCGTCGGCGACGGCGTCCGTCGCCAAGGAGAAGGCCGCTGCGACGGCGGCAGTCGCCAAGGTGAAGGCGTCCCAAGCGGCGACGATCGTGCAGGCCAAAGCCGGCGAAGCCAAGGTCGCGGCCTACACGGCGGCCGGGAAAGCGCCGCCGGTGGTCTCGTCCGACAACCCGTCCGCCGATGGAGAGACCAACTCGGGCTCGGAAACCGAGTCGGAAGGTCTCTTGAGTGAAGCGCAGAACCAGTGCCAATGCTTTCCGAACCTCTCGAAGAAGGAGCGGATCCAGGGCGCGATCGCGGCCTACGCCGCCGGCGCGCTCTTTAGCTTTCTCTCGACGCTTCTCATGTTTGGCGGCCCCAAGCACGTGAAAGGCTTTGCGTTCTTCTACACGCTCGGCAACATTTGCTCGATCTCGAGCTCCATGTTCCTCACGGGCTTTCTCAACCAGTTCAAGGTTATGTGCATGCCTATCCGGCGCGTCGCATGCATTGTCTGGATCTCGTCGATGCTGCTCACGATCATCGTGGCCGTGACCATGGCCCGCCCCGGTATCCTCGTGCTCCTCCTCGTCTTCATCCAGTACTGCGCCATGCTCTGGTACGGCGCCAGTTTCATTCCGTACGGGCGAGCGATGCTCAAGAAGATTTGCTCGAAAGCAGCCGCGCAGGCCACGACGGCCGTCTGATCGCCGCTTCTCCTTTGACTTCCATACATTGCCATATCCCTTATAAATACATATTTGTCAGCGCACCGTGTAGAGGTACGCGAACGCGTGCTTGGCCCACGACACCGACACCTTGGCTTGCACCGGCGGGTCTGCGAAGAGCGTGCACGCGTTCCCGTCCCGCATGCAGCGCGCTTCGCGGTGGCGCTCGCAGATCTTCTTCATCGTGACAATGCGCTTGAGGTGCTTGAGCTGGAGGAGGAGGTCGCAGACCGCGCTCATGACTTCGGGCGGGAAGAGCACGTTGTTGATGAAGACGACGGTGGCGTCCATCATGGCGAGCTGCGTCACCGGGTGACAGATGTCGCCCTGCACGATCGAGAGCGCTTTGTCGCTCACGTGCTCGGGGTACGTGGCGCGGAGCCGGTCCAGCGCGCGCTGGCCCTCGACGACGCGGTTGAGCATGAGCTCGATGCCCCGCGCGTCGCGGAGGCCCGTCTCGAGTGCAACTTGCACGACGATCTTGCCCGTGCCGCAGCCCAAGTCGTAAAAGACATCCGACGGTTCGAGGGCCAAGAAGGGCATGATCGTGTCCGTGAACGCGTCCGGGAGCACCTCGCCGTACGTGAGGAGGCGCTTGAGGTCGGCGGCGCTCGTCTTCTCGACGAGGCTCGACTTGGCGCACTGGGACGTTTCTTCGCGAATGACGTCCGGGTTGACCTTGTACATGGCGCGGTCGTCGCGCTCGACCTCGGCAAACACCTCGGTCAATATCTACCGCACAATGACGACCGTCAACGAATGCATTTGAATTGCATATATCGCAAAGTGTACCTTGAGCACCTGCGTCGGTGGCAGCGCCGATGCTTTGGACGACGGCGCGTCCGGCTTGGCCTCGAGCACGATCGGCTGTGCTGCCTTGCTGGGGGTGGCAGATGGCGTCGCCGTCGGGTCGACCTTGACCGTTTCCATCTTGTCGCTCAAGCGCCGCATGTCACGCCGATTCTTGCGGTTGCTGCGCGGCAGCGGCGCATCGACGATGGCGGCTGCGGTGGATGTGGAGGCCGACGCCTTGGTCGGCTTGACAATGGGCGACCCATCGTCGTCGTCATCGTCTGGGTCGGTGAACTCGATCGTGAGCGTGTCCGAAATGTTGACCGTGCGCGAGCCGGGCTTCTTCTTCTCGGGCACGGGCGTTGCGCCCGACGGCTTGTGCTTGCGCTTGTCCTTGGCGCCCCCGCGCGTCTCCTTCTTCGGCGTCACGTAGCTCATGGTGGTTGGCCTCGGCGGCTTATTCCTCCAAGGGCAGGGTGTTTAAAACATGAAACGTATTCAGATGTTTAAAACGTTGATAAATTTCGGCATATGCCACAGCTTGGCCAGGAAGAAGAGAGAGTGCTGGTGAGAGTGCTGGTGAGAGTGGCGAGTGTGCACACGGTCCAGCCATGCGGCCAGGGACGGACGAGTACCGCCGCCGCCGGTCGCAGAGCCAACGCGCGTACATGGCCCGGCAAAAGTCGCACACGCAGAGCCTCGCGAACGAGGTCATGTCACTCTCTCATGAGCTAGCTCGCCTCGAGGGCAGGCGGGACGTCCTCTCCGACATGCTCTCCCAGTCGATCGCGATGAACGAGACGCGGTCCGAGCGGCTCATGCACGAGTACGTACGCACGTTTGCACATGGCTTCCGCCAGCGGGACGTGGTCATGGCCAGTAAGCAAGACCGCTTCCTCCGCGCCATCATGGACCCGGCCATGGTCTTCCAAGGTAGGCACTCGCTCGATACGTTCATGCGCATCTTCCAGCACTACTCGTCGACACACGCGGGCTTCGCCATGCGCTTCGTCTCTTGCCACGTGACGCTTGCGGACGACGGTGGGCTGCTCGCGTGCACACTGCAGCTCGTCGTGCAGCAGCGCATGACGCGTGCGTCGCTAGCTCTGTACTTTCCCCACATCCTCCACGACGAGGTCCTCGTCCAGGAGCTCATCGGACACACCATGGAGATCCCGCAGACGTCCGTCTTTTCGTTCGGGCTCGACGGGCGCATCGTCGCATATGACACGAGCATGGCCCTCGCCACCGCACTCGCCAAGGTCTTGCGGTCGCTGGAACGGGCAACTTTTGTAGTGAGCCATAGCAAGCTCACGGAAGCGCCACCAGAGCATCCGCTCTGAGTATTGGATACATGACGTGGCATTCTCTCGTGTCACTTGAACTGGCGTGCTGCACAATATTGCATTGGCATCGAAGGCAGACAGGGCAGCATACGTAGTGGCAAAAGCCGACCCTCAGACAGAACGTGTGCTGCGGGTGGCGTCCCTTTGATTGTTCGAGGCCCCGTAATACTGGCGGGGCTGTTGCATTTGTCGAGGATCGAACTGTGTCCCTTGACGTCAAGGGGCACGCAGTAGGCTTCAGCCCTCCATACGCCGCCGCTTGAGCGCGGAAGGTCTGCCAGTACAACTGCGTCGTTGCTAGTATGCGTTGCACCATACTAGAGGCTTGTCGCCGCCCTGCGTAGCTGTGCGAGCAGGCCTCCAGTTGGAAGAATAGTATCGTGATAGCTTTGTTGTCGGCGACTTAGGTTTATGTGAACTCCCATGCGCCTACACGAGCGGGAAGGTGGCACAACGGGTCCTGCGTGCAGCAAGACGCTTGCGGATGATGCTTGGCCGCTCCATGGACGGGGCTTGACATTGGTTGCAAGGGTTGTCGATACATTCGGAGGCGCGTAAGTGGTACGGTAGGGCGTGGAAGGCAAGTCGTCTCTACTTGGGTCGACGCTGCTTGGCCCTCGCTCAGCGCATCTCGATCATCCTCCGGCTTTTGTCGTTCCATCGTGCACCGTAGTACCAGTAGGACGATTTGATCGCCGACGGTATCCGATCTTGGCGCGTTCCACGGACAGGCGCAGGTTCCATCTCGCGCGATGAGCGCCCGCGACGTCAAGTGGATGGCCTCTGGACTGCGCATCGCCCAGCACTCACGCCAGGTGCGCGGCCTTGCCGTGCAATCGAAAGGTTAAAAAGCGGCGTCACCCCGCGTCTATCGACAGGCCATGCGCAATCTACCGTAGGCCCCATGGTATGCCACGGTGCGAGTACAAGGACGGTTCGTTTCGTCAACCGACGAACTGCATCTCGTGGCCTTGCTCTGCACCACTTGAGATGACCGATGCTCACGGCCATGAGCCTGCTCCTTCTCCTGCTTTCGTCGCGGCCTTGTCGCCTCCGACGACGTCGCTGCCACCCCGTCGCTAGCTCATGTCACCTCCCCGCCGGCCATGCACCTCCAATGACACCTCGGCTCACGATATTATATTACAAATCGACCAATCGGGCCACTCTGACCCGATAAAGTGCGCATCGACACGCCGGATACCACGTCCGGCGTTGTATCCTACGCCTGTGCATGGCCGCGCGACGAGCAGCCGTCGTGGCCCTGGTCACGGCAAGATCGCCTTGCGTCAACTGCACGGACGCAGTGCCACTGCCACGGGCATGCGCTGGCAGCGGCGGCGCGGCCCTCCGTGGTGCCGCCATGGGCGACGAGGGCTTCCTGGCATGCACCTTGGTGCGGCGAAGAGGCAGGACAATGCTGCAAAGCCGATCGCAGCGCGTGGCCACGCAGGCCGCATAGAAGAGGCTGACAGCCCTGACGTGGCGCTCAAAGACACACGCAGCAGCGTCTGCATCGCAGCCACCGAAACACTACTCGTCGCACGAAGAGGGCCATCGCCAGCAGGCTCCCGATTATGTGCGGATCGCGCGCCGCAAGTCCGTTACTGCGTGGCCCATTTCGCACTTAGCTGGATTTTCGCATGTTTATGGGAAAATCTGCATTTCTATAAAATACCGGTGGCATTTGAAGGTCGACGAAGACCACATTTCCGAAAAAGCCGACGACGATGATCCTCCTTATCGCGTCGGTCGTGATCCTGAGCGAGACGCTGCGCAGCCTGCTCCAGGACGCCTTCGCGGTCCTCTGCCAGCAGCTCGCGGATGCGCCCGTCTTCTTCTCGCTACTCTTGGCGGTGCTTGCGGCCTGCTGCGCGCTCCGGGCGTCGCTGCTCCAGACGATGAACACGACGTCGGTGCTCATCATTGGCTTTGCCGCCGTCTCGTACCGCGCGACCGAGCACGACATTCCGCGCCCGCTCTCGTTTGTGCAAGCAGCCGGCGTCATCGCTCTCGTGTACCTCCTCGGCTTTGTGGGCATGTGGGCCGTCAAGCCGACGCCCAAGTACACCAACGACAAGTACACCGAGGCGAACCGTGACGCGGACGTCATTATCATTGGCGGTGGCACCACGGGGTGCGCCATGGCGATGGGCCTCGCCAAGCAAGGCAAGAAGGTGCTCGTGTTTGAAAAGACGCTCGAGTACCAAGACCGGTTCGTGGGCGAGCTCATGCAGCCCGGTGGCCTCGACGCGCTGCGATCGCTGGACCTCCTCGATTGCGCCGAGACTGAGACGGACATCAAGGCCGAGGGCTACACGATCGTCAAGACAAAGAAGGGCACCGAAGACCACATCATGCTCCCGTACCCCGAGCGCGTGCCCAAGACGTTCTCCGAGTACATGGGCTTTGCGCGTGGCGACAATGGCACGGGCAAGCAGCACGGCCGCGGCTTCCACAACGGCCTGTTTGTCGACCGCCTCCGCGCCAAGGTCTTTGCCCACGAGAACGTCACCTGCATTGAAGGCACAGTCACCAAGCTCGTGTCCGACTCCAAGACGGACATTTGCCGCGGGGTTCAGTACCGCCGCAAGGCGACGTCCGAAGACGTCGAGATGCCGACCGAGCACGCGAAAGCACCGCTTGTCCTTGTCTGCGACGGTCTCTGGTCGGGTCTCCGCCGCGAGCTCTCGACCGAGTCGCCCAAGCAAATTTCGAGCTTCATTGCCATCTTGATGAAGCACCCGCCCATGGAAGCGTCGGTGCCGTACCGCGGGTACGGCCACGTCATCCTTGCCGAGCCGTCGCCGATCGTTGTCTATCAAATCTCGCCGACCGAGACGCGGGCGCTGGTCGACGTGCCTGGGAAAGTGCCGAGCCAGAGCAACGGCGACCTCACCAAGCACCTCCTCAACGTCGTTGCGCCGCAGATGCCCGAGGCGTCCCGCGCCGCCTTTGTCACGGCCGTGCAGGACGGCCCGGTCAAGTCGATGCCCAACCGTGAATTCATGACGACGCAGCCGAGCCTCGGCCGCTGCATCATGATTGGCGACTCGTGGAACATGCGTCACCCGCTCACGGGCGGCGGCATGTCGGTCGCGCTCCGTGACGCGGTGCTCCTCACGTCGCTCCTCGAGAAGACCGACCTCGTCGACGCCGACGCGATCGCGGCCGCTCGCCATGCGTTTGAAGAGCAGCGCGTGAACCACTCGTCGACCATCAACATCCTCGCCAACGCCTTGTACCACGTGTTTTCGATTCCGGACGGCTACTCGAACGCGGCCGCGCGCGAAGAGATCCGCGAGAGCTGCTACCAGTACCTCAAGCTCGGCGGTATGTTCAGCTCGGGCCCGCTCGGCCTCCTCTGCGCGCTCACGCCCAAGCCAGCGGTGCTCGTTGCCCACTTCTTCATGGTGGCCGGCTACGCCGCGTCGCGCGTCTTGACGCCGTTCCCGACCCCGAGCAAGCTCCTGCATTGCTACCGCGTCTTCCACGAAGCGTGCTTGATCATCATGCCGCTCGTGCTGCGCGAGGACGTCACGTTCCTCGCGTGGGCGCCGCTCGCCGGTCTCATCAACCTCCTCTTCCCGTTCCGCCGCTAATCGCAATGTATATTTTCGTCCCAATTTGAAGTCTTGGAGTGCACTTGATCGCAGAGCCAGCCTCAAGCCGTTGCTTGTTGGTCGTAGAGATGCAGAGATTTCGCTCTGTTCTGCATACATGTACCTCTAGCGTCGCGCGACTGCTGGGAACGCGGGAGGCCGGTCCGCAGCGTCCATGCATTTTCGAGCGCTCCTGGAGGTCCTCGCCATGGTGTGCGAGCGACTCGGTGGCCCACAAACTCGGGGCAACGTTGGCAGGGACATCGCCCGAGATGCGTATCGTCCAAGATGCGTGGCCAGCGCTCTTTCGATCGAGCGGTGGTTGGAGAAGTGCACTGTACAAATCGGTCGCGTGCGCCATCATCGATGCAGTTCAATCACGCGGGAACACGAGCGCGATGTGGTCAGGAGCACTGAACGGCGGCTGCGCTACAACGCGATCACCTTGTCGAGAGTCGAAACCTGTGGTGCACACTCGGTAAAAATCACAACGTAGATATCCGGCCAAGCCCCCGATGATGCTACATGAGCTCGTTGGGTCGAGCACGCGCCGTGAGCTCACGCCGTGGACCGTGTCGTCGCCGCACCCGAACGATGTTGGCTAGGCGCTGACTAGGGGTAGGGCTCCGTAGCCGCGCAGGTGACCGGCCTTCTCCGTCGTCTCTTTTATGTGCCGGTTTCCATGCGCCCAGAGAAGCAGCGAAATCATTTGTGCCAAGTAGCTCTGTGCTGAACACGACGTCGAGTGCCATCGGTGGCCAACCTCGTGGAGCCTGGCAGCGAATAATGGAGCGTACTCGTATCTCGATGCTCGATGCTCGTACCTCGGCAGTAGACGACTCTGGACATGGGTGCACAGGAGCTTGATCCGTCAACGCACCAGCGAGAACCAGCAGTGGTGACGTTACGTGCGCCCAGATGCAAGTCGCCCTATCACTCGCAACTCGCAACTTGGCACAAGCGAGCCAGCCGGCACCAAGAACCATGCGGGTTCGTGGGCCTTCCTGACCGCATCCCGTGGCTTTGTTCATCGCTCGCGGTCGTCTCTGAGAGCGTTTCTATACAGGCTGCTGTGCGGTGGGACGACGCCCCGCTTCCGAGCGGCGTGCTGGCGTTAGAGGCTGCGACATGTCCGGTGACTGATTGCATAAAAGTCTTTTGTGACTGACCGACCGCCTGGCCACTTTGCATTTTGGTCGGGTCGAATTAAGAAGAAGAAGAGCATGTTCCGACTCAACTCCAAGCGCGTGTTTCCGAGTGAGGAAGAGAAGTTGCTGCACCGTCGCCGGCTCCGCGCGTCGAACCAGCGCGCGCACGTGGCCCGTCGGCGCGAGACCATTGAGCGCCTGAGCCGCCAAGTCGACGCGCTCGCGTACGAGACGAGCCGCCTCGAGGGCAAGCGCGAGTCGCTCAGCGTGACGCACCGGTACCTCAACGACCACCGGAGTGTCAAGACGGTCCACGAGTACCTCCGCGTCTTTCAGCATGGCTACAAGACGTCGCTCGATAAGGAGGCGACGATCCAAGAGCGCTTCCTTCGCTCCATCATGCGCGACGACCTCCGGTACTTTCACCTCATTGGCGTCGACAAGCTCCTCCACGTCTTCCGCGTCTACTGCGCGTCGCACAGCAATTTCTCCATGTGCTTTTTGCGCTGCAACGTGATCCAGAACGACGACGACGGGCTCGTGGCGTGCCACGTCACCATGATGGTGTCCCAGCGCATCACGCGCACGACGCTCAGCATGTACTTTCCTCATATCCTCCATGACGAAGTGCTTGTGCAAGCGCTCATTGGCCGTCAAATCGACCTCCCGACGACCTCCATCTTTGGCTTTGACGAAGATGGACTCGTCTCGTCGTATACTGCCAGCATGGACTTTGTCGGCGCCTACATGCGTCTCCTTGCCGACCTCGAGACAGTTGCTCGGCTCGTTGGCGGCAACATGTACCATCCGAGCAAGCTCCAGAGCTTGTCCTAGTCGCATAGTAGTACTTATACATCGTAAAGCATTGGCATTTTGTTGTTAATCGGCTTCATCTTGGCCCAACGACTACGAGGTTCGTTTCCGCTTGGAGCTCGATGACGTCGACGACGACGTGCGCTTCTTGCTCGAGCTGGAGCTGGAGCTCGACGGCTTGGCCTTTGTCGCCAAGTGCTCTTCTTCGGCCACGACCTTGGTGCCGAGCTCCTCGTTCTCCTTCTCGATGAGCTTGGTGAGGAACTCGCCGCGCTTCTGGAGCTCGAGAATCGTGCGCGACTTGAAGAACCAGTCAAAGCGGAACTGCCACGCCTTGCGAATGTCCTCCTTGATCGCGACCCAGTCGCCGCCGACGCCGTGCTTGTGCATCATGCAAATCAAAAAGACGTCCTCGTCCATCGTGAAGCCCTTGCTCTTGTACCCGCCGGGGTACGTGAGCTTCATGTCGCGCCACGGGTTCTTGTACCGAGCGACCTACACAAACCGTAAGGTATGATGATTCCAAACTCACGAAGCTCAGTACCTTGGAGGCGAGGGCTTCCTTGATCGCGAGGTTGCGCTGGATGCGCTTCTCACCGCGCTCGATGCGGTCCATGTACTTTTGATATTCTTCAAGCTCGGTCCCGCGCGCCCAGAACACGTCATAGTACTCGGCGACGCGCGCGACGTCCTTGACAAGCAGCGTCGCGACTTCGAGGCAGACCGCATCCTTGTCGCTGCGACCAAAGCGCTCGCAGCTCGCCACAAACTGCTTGAGGTCGCGCCGGCTCCAGTCGCCAAACCCGTCAGCTTCGAGCGCCTCGAGCTCGGTCACGTCGGCGGCGTCCATGACCATGTTTTCGAGCTCGGCCTCGAGCTGCTTGGACTTGAGGTCGTCGCCCTCGAGCTTTTGCTTTTGCTCGTCCGCCTTGGCTTCCTTGATGAGCTTGATGTGCTCCTTGCGCGCAAACTCGACGTCGTAGCGCTTCTGGAGCAGCGCCGTCATGCGCTCGCGGTCGAAAAACTGAAAATCGTGTACGACTGGCACCTTGGGCTTGTTCTCTTCGTCGGGCTTCTTGGTCTTCTTCGGCTTGGTCTGGCCCGTCTGCTGGCGGTAGTACTCGTCCACGTCGTAGTTCTTCTTGCGCTCGCGCGCGGGAAGCGCAATGAACGTCGACGGGAGGACCGAGCCCGACTCGGCCGCGTCCTTGGCAAAGTTTTCACCCTCAAAGTCGTACAAGCTCGAGACGCTCGTGAGGCTAAAGTTGGCGAGGTTGTGCTGCATGTCGTCGACGACCTTGGCCTTCATGGCCTCGGTGCGCTCCTCGCCTTTTGCCAAGATCGCATCAATGTCGTCGTCCGTGATCATCGAGCCCTTGGCGTTGAAGATTTCGTCCGCACCAAAGCGCACCATCGTCATGAGCTCGTCTTTCGAGAGCTTTCGGTTCTGCTGCGCGAGGCGGCCTTGCTGGATGATCGCTGCGTCCAAGTAGAGCTTGCGCTCGGCACGCTCAATGATCTTTTCTTCGACGGTCCCGTCCGTCACAAAGCGGAAGACGCGGACGAGCTTGGTCTGGCCAATGCGGTGCGCACGGTCCATCGCTTGCAGATCCACTTGCGGGTTCCAGTCCGAGTCGAAGAGAATCACGATATCGGCGGTCGCCAAGTTGATGCCGAGGCCGCCCGCGCGCGTGCTGAGGAGGAACACAAACTTCGTCGAGTTGGGCGCGTTGAACACGTCCATGTACTCGTCGCGGAGCTCGCCTTGGGTGCTGCCGTCGAGGCGGCAGTACTCGTGGTCGTTGTAGCGCATGTAGTCTTCCAAAATGTTGAGCATCGACGTCATTTGGCAGAAAATGAGCACGCGCGAGCCTTGGGCCTTGAGGCGCGGCAATAGCTTGTGCAGCAGCGTCATCTTGCCGCAGTTCTCCCAGAGGTGCGGTCCCTCCTTGTACGGCGGGCCCGGCTCAGCGCCGTCAAAGAGGTACGGGTGGTTGGTCACTTTGCGGAGCTGCATGAGGATGTTGAGGAGGCGGACGCGGTCCGAGCCGCCAATCGAGTTGAGGTGCGTCGCGTCGCGGTGCAAGACGCGCGTGTACCACTCGCGCTGCATTTCCGAGAGGCCGACGTAGAGCTTGGTCTCGATCTTGGGCGGCAGCGAGTGCTCGACATCCGACTTGAGGCGCCGGAGGAGGAACGGGCGCAGCACCGTGTGGAGCTTCTTGATGACGTTCTCTTGGCCTTGCTCGCCGTCCACATTGAACCACGAGTCAAAGTCCTCGGACGCCGTAAAGACATCTAAGATACAGCATGATTCGTGAAGGGGGCGTGAGGGGCCGTGTACCAGGGAGAAGAAAGTTGAGGAGCGCCCAGAGCTCGTGGAGGTTGTTCTGGAGCGGCGTGCCCGTGATGAGGAGGCGGTGCTCGACGTCAAACTCGCGCACGACGGTCGAGAGCTTGGAGTTTTCGTTCTTGATGCGGTGCGCTTCGTCAATGAGCATGTACTTCCACTTGAAGCGCTTCAACGTCGCCTTCTCGATGATCGCGACTTCGTACGAGAGCACGCACGCGTCAAACTTGGTCGACTTCATCGTCTCGCGCAGCACGTTGCGCTGCTCCTTGTCGCCCATAAACTTGAATGCGCGGATGGACGGGCACCACCGGTTGAGCTCGCGCATCCAGTTGCCGACCGTCGACTTGGGCACGATGATCATGTGCGGACCCTTGATGGCTACGCAAGTCATGAGTATAGGGGATTATAGGTCGGGTCGACGCACCGCGGGCTTCGCGCAGGTACGCGAGAAGCGAGATGGACTGCAACGTCTTGCCCAACCCCATTTCGTCGGCCAGAATGCCGTTGACGCCGCAGTCGTGGAGACGGATCATCCAGTTGAGACCTTCGAGCTGGTACGGCTTCATGGTGCCAAAGGCGATGTTGGATGGCTGCTTGTCGAGGCGCGTGAAGCGCGACTCTTCCATCGCGAGCAGTGCTTGATCTTCGGCCGAGTCGTCCGCCTTCTTGCCCGACCGGCGGTTCTCGCCTTCCTGCTTCTTGGTCTCCCCGCGCTTCTTGGTCATGGCTTTCCCCACGGCCGACGTCCCGCCCATCAAGAACGACGTAAAGACATCCGACTACGCATTGCACATGAGTTCTGGACGTAGGAAGGAATGCCAAGCATTTTTCATCGCAGGAATGAAAGCATGCGTGGCATCATCATAAAGAGATCCTACCTGGGCCATGAGGAATTGAAGTCGCTTGTCCGTGGGGCGGATGTTCTTCTGGGCCTCGGCGTCGGCTTCTTCTTCGGCTTCGCGCAGCGCCTGCAATGTCTTGAGCTGGGTCTCCTTCTGCTTGCGGAAGGCTTCTTCTTCTTCGCGGAGGAGTGCATCGCGGGCAGCCTTCTCTTCCGGCGACAGCGCTTCTTCCTCTTCTTCCTTGGCGGCGATGGCTTCCAAGGCGCCACCAGCATCTTCGTCGTCCTCGACGCCAGAAGCATTGCCATCGTCCGAGTACGACTCCACGTCCGAGTCGTGGGCCGCGGCCGCGTCCTCGGCGCGCTTCGTCGGTGACTTTGTCGTGGCCATAGACACCCCAGGCTCCAATTCCAACAATACGAAAACGCTTGGCGAAAATCCTGTGTTCTGACTGGCTATAATTCCTTTCTCAAGGTCCAGGATTGGCTGAAATGATGCATTTTTGAGATTGGTACAAATCCAAATCTTTTTCAAACAGCAACAACGCTGCCGGGTCCTTTATTCGGCGTACGATTGGCCAAAATAGGATCCCGCCAGGCCGTCCCGCCCTCGGATTGGGCCATGGGCAGTGGCGAGAGAAGTAGGCGAGGGATCCTGGCAGCGCCACTGCGTGCGCGAGGACATTGCCCTTGAGCATGGGGGTCCGCGGCTGTGTGGTCCCGGTGGGCCCGTCGCCAGAGGTCGCCGACCGCGTGGGGCCGTGGCCACGGACGAAGAGTATCCGGATAACGAACGCCATCCGGAGGCTAATTTCGGAACCTCATCACACCGCTCGTTGACGCAAGAGACTGCAATGGCGAGTGACAGCGTCGGCTCCTTGGGGTTCTTCACGGGCGTCTCCGTGGACGACAAGAAGTACGAGAGCCTCCTCGAAGACCTCCGCGCCCATGACCTCTTGGGCCCCGTGGATGATGCGCTGGACAACTACCCGTACCCGATGGGCACGACGACGGCCTCGAGCCGGCCGTTCGTGCTGCATGACAACCTCTCGGCCATCTTTATGGGCAACGTGCATATGCCGGGGAGCGAAGCGCCGCCGGCGAACGAGCAGCCTAAGCCCAAGGGGAAGGTGAGCGCGCCTCCAGGGTTTGCGGCGGCGCCCCAAGGCGCTGCGCCGACCCAGGCCGACTTGGAGTGGGCGCGCAGCCAGCAAGAGTTTGCGATGCTCCGCGAAGAGTTCTCGAAAAAGGCCGCGCCGGAAACCGCGGCCTTTGGCTTTGGCAACGCCGGTCTTGGCATCTCGAGCGCGCCGTCGTCGACCTCCGCGTATCTCTACGCGGAAGACGATGAAGACGATGGCATTCTGGAAGACCTGAAGCTCAAGTCGTTGGGCTTGACCGAAGACGAAGAGACGGCAGCTCCGGCGAAGGCGCTTGCGGTGCCCCCGCCGCTCCCGACGACGATGCCGACGCCGCCGCCTGGCTGGGGCCCACCCGCGGGCGCGTTGCCTCCTCCGGGTATGATGCCGCCGCCCGGCACGATGCCGCCTCCTGGTGCCATGCCGCTGCCGACTGGCAACATGCCTCGTCCGCCGCCAGGCTGGCGTCCCGAGCACGGCCCGCCGCCGCATCCGCAAGGTATGATGCCCCCGCACGGGTTCCCGCATCACCCGCCGCCGCACATGTTGCCGCCGCACATGATGCCGCCGCCGCACATGATGATGCGTCCGCCGTTCCCGCCGCCGCCGCACGTGCTCTTGCAGGAGCGCGTCTTCCAGGTCATGATGCCGCGTGACATCCAGTTTGTCGTGCAGCAGGAGCTCAAGCAAATCCGGTCCAGCGATCCGTTCAGCGACGACTACTACTTCCACAACTACATGGTGGTACGGCGCATATTCCTTCCGCTTCGTCACACTCAACTCGGTGTAGAAGCGCGATCGGGCCCGTCAGCAAGCGCTGCCCGGGCAACCGCCGCTGCCGCTGCCGTCCTGGAAGCTTGAACACGTCAAGTCGTTCGACCCGCGGGATGTGTCGCGTGCCAACAAGTCGCGGACGTGGGAGACGGAGAACCATGTGCTTGGCCGGACCGCCAAGACAAGCTTGTACCGGCCGCGCGAGCTCCTCAACTTGCACAAGGTTGACGAGCAGCCCAAGGACGTGACGGTCGTCGATGTGCTCAACCGCCCAGAGGAAGAGCTCGGCGCGTCCGTCTTCCGCAACGAGGCGTGGTCCAAGCGCCAGCGCATTGATGCCGGCATTGTCCACCTCCTCGCGCTCCAGGACGCGCGCCATCTCCTCGACGCCCGCCGCGTGAACGTGCAGCAGTTCCACCAGATGGACACGGCGCAGATGGACCCGGCGCTCATCAAGCTCCGCGAGCGCACGACGCGCCTGCTCTTGGACCTCGCAAGCGTCCTCGGCGTGAGCACGATCAACGGCGAGGCGACGTGCGACCCGCCGGCGCTCGAAGCGATTCTCTCGGTCTCGAAGGGCAAGAAGCTCGTGTGCCGCGCGCTTCCGCTGCTGCACCCGTCGGCGCGCTTTGTGCTCTTCCCGTTCCTCGTCCAGTACATGCTGGCGCAGACGCAGCGCATCACCGATCAGTTGACCGCCGACGAGGCCGCGGCCGACGACCGCCTCGCGCAGACGCTGGTGGTCACGATGATGTACCACTCGGTGCCGGCCGATGTGCTCGCCAAGGCGCTCGCGTACGCGCTGGACCGTCAGTCGCTCGCGTCGCTCTCGCTCGTGCTGCACCACCGCGTACGTGCCAAGGCGAGGGTTTTGGTTAGGACGCTGATTGGTGTACGTAGTCGCGCGCTGAGCTCCTCCAAGCGCTCTTGCAGAAGGGCGGCACGACGTGCGAGACGGCCGCCGAAGACGTCAAGGCCGCGTGGTAGGCCACTCGTCTAGGTGAAGAGCCGTTTCTCATGTGTGTGGCGTCTGGTAGGATGAAGTACCAGGACCGGTTTGTGGACCTCGCGTCGCAAATCAAGGAGGCTGCGATGCAGCAGCCGTGAACCATCATCTTTTGCATATCCCACTTGCATATTTCACTTCCGCTGTGCGTTTGAATAGAAGACACACTGCATTTTTGACGTATGTCTCCGATATGAGTGAGTGTACTCCTAGGTCATCGTGTCGACCATGTACCCTTGCAGACGGTAGCAGGCAAGGATGTTGCTGCGAACCCTAGCCCTGCCCTAATCTCCGAAAGCAGCGGCATCGTTTGCAAACGGGCCTTTGTCATGTCAAGGGGCGTGGGCGTATGCGAAGTCTTAATAACGAAGATAACGCCGAACACGTTCATATAGATAAGGGGCGCGGGCCGACAGTGCCTCTCAAGCCGCAATTTTTACAATATGAATTTCATGACCGTATTTATCTCCTTCACATCGTATTTACGGTCACATATACGGTATATTTGCGGCGTGTGATGCACATCAGAGCGACAGGGCGCGAGGAACTGTGCGCATTGGTTTTTACGAAGTGCTTTTACAATTTCCCGCCTTTTCCCCTGAAAAAGCTCCCGAGTTTTCATTCATTTCTCATTTTGCACGGGTCTGCACGCCGCCGGGTCGGGGTAGCCTTGGCGCTACGCCGACGTTAGGAGATCGCAGCATTCGGCCCACGGGCTCTGCCATCCTTTCCGGCGGTTGTCGCTCGCTTGTGTTGGTTTACTATTAGGAACATAGAAGCGTAGTTGCGTAGTACTTGTGTAGGGAAGAAGCATCGTCCATCGCATGGCCATTTCCTCGGTGCCAGGCAAGCCCATGCCTTCGTCGCATCGAGAGCACAACATGTCCTTTCATGTCCTTGATGCAACGAAGGTGTGTGCTAGATCTGGCAACCGGCTGCGTGTAGTGAGTGATTGGTACAATTGCTGTCGGGCCCACTCGGTTGAAGCCAAGCCCTCGGCAAGTCCATCTCGCTCAATCTCGTCAAGTCCTTTACGCTCAATGGCCATCGGTGTTCTCCAGAAGCAAACACCCGATGCACTAGGTCATTGGATGCGATGAACTCAAGGCCACCAAGCTGTGGCACGCTCGCAGCATTTCGTTCATTCCCAACGTCGCCTTGTTCAGCAG